TTTCAAATGGACTGACAAGATAGAAATGTATGATAATAATATTGCTTATACGAATAACACCTGTAAAATGGTGTCAAGCAAAATCAGAGAAATGAAAAATATAACTGAAGAATATGTTATTGGTGAGGAAGTTATATGCCGAAAATATATCAAGACTATGGGCACAAAATTTAATGTTAATTTTAAATTTAGGATTTCAAATATCGTTGGGGATATTGTTGTTTTACAAAATGTGGCAACAAATGAGAAGCAAAACATAAAAATAGAATTGTTGAGAAAACATTTTATATATGCTTACTGCTACACCGCACATTCAAAGCAAGGTTGTAGCGTTGATGGTGATATAGTCATATATGATTGGAATGAATGGTATGTTAGTAAGAATTGGTTTTTTACAGCCCTCACAAGGGCTACAGACTTCAACAAAATTAAGTTTTTCAAATATAATAAAGGTGAAGAAAGTAAATCTAAAAGGATAGTAGAGCAGTATTTTGAGAGAAAGGTTTTAAATTACATTGAGCAAGACAAAAAAGCAGGTAGAGATGTAGAAGGAAATGAGTATGTTGATGTAGATTTTTTGATGAGCCTGATGAATACCCAGTGTGAAAATTGTAATGAACCATTGGTGATAGATTTTGAAGATGGCAAGGTTTCATCAAATATTAGCTGTCAAAGGGTTAATTGTTGTGAAGCTCACTTTAAAGATAATTGTAAAGGTTATTGTGTGTCTTGTAATTGCGCTTTTTCAAATAAGATATTAATGTGAAATGGTTTTAAAGAAAAGATAAGTTAAGATAAGTAGGGATATGAGCAAATATCAAAATGGTAAGATTTATAAAATAGTAGATGTAGGATATAATAAAACCTATTATGGTTCTACTTGCGAAAGTTTGAGCCAAAGAATGACAAGACATAGAGCCAAATACACAGCATACTTGAAAGGTAATATTACAAATACACGTTCTTTTGATTTGTTTGATGAATTCGGTATAGAGAATTGCAAAATTGAATTAGTAGAAAACTACCCTTGTAATAGCAAGGAAGAGTTAAGACGGAGGGAGGGCTACTATATCAAAAACAATGACTGTATCAATAAATGTGTGCCGTGTAGAACACCAGCAGAATATTACCAAGATGAAAATGAATATTGTAGGTTCAGAAATGACCTTTACAAAGAACTTCATAAAGAAGAAGAACAGGAATATCATAGAAGACGGTTTCAAGAAAGAAAACACATCTTGCTGGAAAAACATTTGTGTGGTTGTGGCAAATATTACACATTTCAACACAAAAAAAGACACGAGAAATCACAAAAGCACCAAGACTGGTTAAATAAACAAAATGAAGAATAAATGATATAATTTTAATATTTATTATATCATCTATTCTATAATGAGTGAAAGTAAGAAACAACAAATTATTCGTGATATTTATTTTGATAGAAGTGGCTATGGTTCAAGAAAGACCACATTAGAAGATGCTAAAAAGAAAGAACCTACAATCAAGAAAGAGGATGTTGAACAATTCTTTAGGAAAAATGTTGAGATAAAAGCAAAGCCAAGAGGGCATAATTCCTTTGTAGCACCTCATAACAATCATACTTATCAAATTGATTTGTTTTTTATGGGGTATTATGATTTTGATGAAGAACAAAAATATAGAGGAGGATTGGTTTGTATTGATGTTTTAAGCAAGTATGCCGTAGTAATTCCAATTGTAAGCAAGAATGAACCTGATGTTATTGAGGCAACTAAAGAGGCATTAAAAAGAATGGGAAAGAAACCAAAAATCATATACAGTGATGATGAAAAAGCAATAGCAGGAGGTGATTTTAAAGACTATATTGAAGGTGAGAATATTGAGTTGTATAGGACAAGGGGTCATCCTGCTTTTGCTGAAAGATTTATACGCACCTACAAGGATATGCTTTTTAAAAGAGTGGAGGCTGATGAAAAGAAGGGTAAGGAAAACATCCAATGGGTTGATTACAATTTAGAAATTATGCTGACATACAATGATAAAATGAAGCATTCCGCTACAGGTATGACACCAAAAGAGGCAAGGAAAGATCAAAATGAATTCAGAGCAAAACTTAATGTTTCAGTAAAAGCAAAGAAGGAAAGAATATACCCTTCTTTAGAGGTGGGAGACAAAGTAAAGATAATGAGAAAGAAAGCAATTACAGAGAAAGAAAGAACTTCCCACTGGCTAAAAGGTTATTATGTTGTGCAAGATATTGCAGAAAAGTTGAACCAAAAATATTACAAATTAACTGATTACCCAAGATTGTTGATGAGGCACGAACTTTTAAAGATTTAGTGTTTTTAGAAAGCTTTGTAAGTTCATTTTTTTCTTACTTATGCCTACTTGATGCAACCATGAGATGGTTGATTTGATGTGCTATTTTGATTTCAGGGTTTTGTGTTTTGTCCTTCATTTGTTTTCCCCACGAATTCGTGTTTTGCACGTTTGGGTCATTGGCTGGGATTACTCTATGTTCCTTTGTCCTTCTGCCCCGCCATGGTTTCGTCATCAATCTCTTCTTCATCCTGTTGTCGGGGCGCTCAGCTGCTGGGAATATGTCAGTCGGAGGTTTGAAACCACATGTTCTTGGAGAGCTCGACCTTGGAATTTGTTTCATTTTGAGCCCCTTTGACATTCTCAAATGGAAAGCTACAGAAATTAGCTCTTTTGTTTTAGTTTGGATTCTTGTGTCATTTTTCAGCATCTTTATGTTCTTCCGTAGCGTTTTTGCGAGTTTTTCCTCAAGCCACTCAGGGACGCTTTTTAGCTCAGGAACGTCGGCATGTTCAAGGGGTCAATCAGTTTCGTTGCTTGCCTCATCAGCCTCATCACCCTGGCATTGAGCGCCGGAGCTGCAGACACCAACAGCACAGGCACTGCGGATGCCGAGCCAAACATGAGCTTGGGGAACCTCACGGCAAATCAGACCAAGGCAGCCAATCTGCGAACTATCGGATGTCGGCGCCATTGTGACGATTGTGAGCCCTTTTCTTGCCGTTGCTACAATTTCGGGTGCTGGTGTTGTGAGTAATTTCACTTTCTTCACGCCAGTTGCTCGCCAACTTTGGCGACGACGAAAGTGTGTGAGAACGCTTGCTTCGCCAACAGGGCGACTTGCAAAACAGTGCTCTTAGCAGATGCTTTTATGATTGACAAGGTCTGTAGGTAGCAAGGTTTCAGGGCTTAAGTAGGAATAGGACATTGCTTCAATAGAGCATTGATGCCAGTGAGCCTTCAAAAGCTTGACATTCAGTGCATTCATGCCTGATACAAAGACAAACCCTTCCAAAAACTTGAGAAGACTGGCACCAACAAGTCTGGGACGCACACCACACAAATCTTTTTCGCTCCATTTCGCCCCAAAAGTTTGGATTGCTGTGCCATTCACACCGTGCTGAGGTTAAGAAGACGTGGTCATCAACAAGTTCATGAAGGGCGGTTTGGGCATGGTAATTGCGGTAATTAAAGAGATTTGAGATTGAGAAAGATGTGATGCTGTTGTTGTATGCTGGTATGTATGCTGGGGGGTGGGATAGTATATTGGCTGGGGGCTGAGGCTTCCCCTTAGGGGGAGACTGTGGTAATTAATCCCTTAATCTTCATAGTAAATGATTATGAAAATTATGTTGATTATCTCCATAAATTTGAAGTGATGATTATGAAATTCAAACTCAAAATTACAAGAGGCACACCAACACTTTGAAGCATGAGGAGAATTTGAAGAAGAATGATAGTTAAATTTCATTTTATAAAAGTGACATTGTCTTTTGTTTTGGTTTGTTGTTATGGTTTTTGGTATAGTCTTTTTTATAGTCTATTGTATTGTTTAGGTTGTTTGAGTTTTTTTGTTTGTTGTTTTGTTGTTATGATTGTGTTGTTGATTATGTTGTAGGGAAAGTGATTTAAAGGGAAAGTATCTTATATATTAGGTGAATTATGGAGGATACAAAAAAGTGTTCAAAATGTAGAAGGGTAAAGCCTGTAGCAGAGTTTGGAGAATACAAACAGTGTCAGCCTTGTTTAGATTATTGTAGGTTGTATTCAAAAAATAATGCTGAAAAAAGGAGAGACTGGGCAAAAGAAAATGTTGAAAAAACAAAGGAGGTTAAACAGACAAAAGTATATTGTGATGATTGTAAGGTTGAAATTCAAAAAGGCAGTTGGTCAAAGCATATTCGTTCAAGGGAACACCTTTCAAATATTGGTAAAGATGACAAAGAGGAATTTGAAAAGATAAAATGGATGAAGTGCCCTGTATGTGATGATTATGATATTCAACTTAAAAATTACAAAAGGCATACAACAACAATGAAACATCAGGAGAATTTGAAGAAGAAGGAAAGTTAGATTTTATCTTATGAACAATATTTATAAGATGAAATTTGTTTTGGCTGTTATGTTTTTTTGAGGGTGTAGGCTGGTGGAATTTATGCTATATTAATCTGGGCGGGTCAGGGAAAAAGACGGGGGAGCACAATGCTAACTATATAATATAAAATATGCATATAAACTTCAACCCTCCCTTCCCATTTGCTCTCAGGAAGCTGAAGCAGCAAGGTCAGATTCCAAACCACTTCCAGCAGGTTGAGGAGGCCTTGCGGCGGTCATGCGGAATGTGGCATCGGAGTGTTTGCAAAATTGTGCAAAACCCTGTGTCTTCTTGGAGTTTTGCGACAAGATGCATGTACTGTTTACATCTGTGTAACATGTATATAGGTTCGAAGGAGCCTCGGGGGGCTTTTCTGCGGCACCAAGTAGCATTGTATTTCATTGCATCAATCTTAAGTCGCTGCCATACAAGCAGACACACAACAATCCATGAAGGATTGCAGATAGATCATGATAGATCAGCATTCTCCATCCAAAATGAAGTCACACTAGGACAAGATGGACCTAGGAGTTTTCCTCACTTTGAGTAGGATTCACAAGACAAACTAAGTCTTGAGATTCTTGAGCTCGGATTCCCGGCGATAGCGATGGAAGCTTTGGAAGACCTGCTGTCTGACACCGACTGTGAAGGTCATTTGAATTTCCGTCCAAGTGGACAGTTCAGCTTTGCTGCGATTCGCCGTCAGTTAGAAAATGAGGGAGTTGAGGAAGAAGAGCTTGAAGAACTCGAGGATGACATCGATGACATCGATGAAATGGATGAGCAAGAGCTTGATGAACAAGAAGCTCTTGAAGGTTTTGGCAATGCACACCTGACAAGAGGTCTTTGGGACATTTCCGCCTTGGGCCTTGGTGCCAAACATGATTACACCATTGAGCCTCACGATGAGGATGATGAAGAGTCCAGCTGCAAGGGCCAGCAGATTCCTTCTGCGGTATCTGAGGCACCAACTGCCTTGCCGGATGATGCCATCAGCAGCAGAGCTCCCACCAAAAGACCTTCATTGAAAGAGGAAGTAGAAGAGTTCCAAGATGTTGAAGGTGATGATGTGGATTTTCTCCCTGCTTCCAATAGGGACGCGGAATTCGCCAAAGATCTTTGGGTCATCCCTAGCTTACGGATGGGTGTCAAGCAGGGTACTCCACCTGAAGACTTGGTGGATGAAGATGAAGGAGGCCTTCTTGACGGGAACAGCGTTCTGCTGCCCAGCGGCAAGGGCCAGATCCCTGCCGTGGCATCTGAAGCCCCAGCTGTGGTACCGGAGACACCGGAGACACCAGAAACACCAGAGGATGGGAACGCAAAGAGTGGAGCCACCAAAAGACCCTTCCTGAAAAAAGGATCCCGGGCAAAGTCCACATTGCCTGGAAATCCTGGCCCATTGGCAGTGAAAAGGCAGCCTGCAAGCACATCTCCAGCTGCTCCAACTCAGGCAGTTGCTTCAGCACCCAAGAGAGAACCTCGAAAGCCGTTCCGACCAGAGTTTCACGTTGCTGATGCCCTGCCTGCACCTGCACGAGAACATGATTTCTCGTTCCAAGCGCAGGCAACTTCACAGAAAACAGGCAGTGTTGCGTCACCTTTGGATGACAAGGCCTAAGCAGTGTTGTTTTTCTTGTGTTTATCTTTTCTCCCTACTGCACCCCTCTTGAAGATGAACTTGACTCTGAATGAATGTGAGATAATTTTCATTGTTTCATTGTTGTATTCAATTGTATTCATTGTTTTTTGGACTCATGGTTCCCTTCACGGTGAACTACCGCAGGACTTCAACGATTCATTGCCCTGGGATTGCCGTGGGCTTGACCACGTGGACGACATGCATGATGTGCATCTTCAAGTGGACGATGAAGAGGAAGATGAAGGAGAACCGCCCACATCCGACATTGTCAGGTCGTACTTCCACAAAGCCCCATCTAGTGGTCCATCAAGTGCCCAGAAACGAAATGCCAGAAGCCCCCATTGGGAAGGTGGCAATGCTTTCACCACTTTGTATGGCCGAACTTCACCAAGCGATGGCAGCCTTTCAGGTGCAGCCAGCCGCTCCGAAGGTCGAAAGGGCTCCAAAAGCGAGCCTCCAGAACAGGCTGAGGCGGCTGAGGCAAAGGCACGGCTGCAAGCTTTGGATGAGGAACTGAAAAAGTACGAGAAGGAGAATGAAACTTTGAAGAAACTCCAAGCACATGCAAAGCAGGCAGAGCGGGACATTGCCAGGGAGAGAGAGAAGCTCTGGAAAGAGGTGGAAGCTGAGAGGACAGCGCTCCATGCAGAGTTTGATGTGGAGCGGGCTGCCTTGCGCAAGGAGAGGAAGCGCCTAGCTGAAGTGGCCGAGCGTCAACGACAGCAGCTCAGGGAGGAGCGCGAGGTTGTAGAAGAGCGACAACGTCTCTCTGACAAAGCAGAGCAGCTTGAAGAAGAGATGCGAGAGAAGGAGAAACGATGGCAACGGACTGTTGATCGTTTGCAGCGACAAGTCACCGAGTTCACCCGCAAAAATGCTGAGCTTCAAGATGAGGTGCAACGCCTTAACCAGCAAGCTGCTCAAACACAGCAGGCCAGCTGGCTCAAGGAAGTTGCTGCTGCCAAGAAAGGCATCTCTGCCCGCACACGCCGGGCTGGCAGCTTGGGCCCCACCAGCCCCAGCAGTGGCCCCCCGAGCGGCCCCGGCCCCAGTGGCCCTGGCCACAGCACCTCAGCACGGCAGTTGGCAGGTCGAGATAGTCGAGCTGATGCAGCTCCAGTCTCGACGCCCGTGGAGAATGAGAAGCGCAGCTCAAGCGTCACGCCCAAATCGCAGCTTCCTGTTGCGCAAGTGGCAGCGGCTCCCAATGGGGAGACTGACGTTCGCGAGACCCGCAAACTGGATGGCCGCATTGAGCGGATTTTTGCAGATGGTCGGAGGGAGGTTGAATTCTCGAATGGCTTGAAAAAGGTGACTTGGCTACGCAATTACTGAAATGATTGAAATTGTCTATTCTTTTTCTTTGTGAGCATGGCCGCAGCATGGCCATCTCTTCTGTAAAAAATGTGCGCAATTCTTGGTTCTGGATGGTTCTGGCAGACTGCAGTCAAAACTATGAACACATTTCCTCCGCAAACCCCTCGCCCAGGTGATGTGGCCAGATGGTCAAACTTCCGTGATGTTCCAAAATGGAGATTTGAAGGAGATCCAACAAGACGGCGTCGTTGTGTACCACTACCGTGCCACGGGGGCGGTTCAAACAACTCTGACAGACGGCACTGAGCTCTACCAGTTCAGTGACGGCCAGACAGAGCGGCACAGCCTGGATGGCTCCAAGGAGATTCGCTTTCCCAATGGGACGACCAAAAAGATCTTCTCAGATGGAACTGAAGAGGTGTGCTTCGCAGATGGGACAGTGAAGAAAACCCTGCCACCAAAGTGACACAAGTGACACGGCACAGGGGGAAGTCTCACACAGCGAGCTGCAAATTTGTCCAAGAGGACAGGGGATTCAACAAAGTGACGTTTGTGTCCAGAGGGGAAAAGGCAGAGCAGTTTTCGTCGTTCGTTCTCACCGCAGCTGTTTGATGCTCTTTGCCTTAGCTGGTCTCCTACTACTAAGAGCCACTAGCAGTAACTAGCAATGCATGCAGAAACCGTTTGGGGATGACTAAAATGTTATCAATTTACATACATTTGAAATGCCGGATCACGGAACAGCCACACGGAAAGGCATTTGGATGAGTCAATTGATGCCGGTACCTCCGCGCAAAGTTTGTTGAAGAAGTTGAACTTATTATACAGTATCTACCGGATTTTCTCGTTCTTCCACGCCAGGTGGTTCAAGATGTTTGCCATCAGAATAGCTCAATGATCTCACTCTTCCCAATTTTCCAATGATTTCCACCCTGCGAGGCAAAGGAATTGCAAGCCAAAGAGCAACGAGCACCTTGGAAGAATTGCATGTTTGGAGCCGCTCGGGGTGATGGACACGGGGATGAGCTTGCTCCACATGAAATAATTACTGTCTCGAACTGCCTGCTGAGGAAGAGGAAGAAGCTGCAGCCACCCTCAGGGTAGTGGTGGATGCAGTGAGTCTTGGCAGGCCGGGAAGTGGCAACGTTTTGATTCTGGACATGTTTCCTCACGCTCCTGCGCCAGGGTGGAGTACAACCTGGTGAGGCATCTCATTGTGAAGGATTTGCGGAGACTGGGCACCACATTAATGACACGCAAAACCGCATAAAACCCTTCAGATTTGAAGATTTGATTATATAGATATATTAGATTTGACATGACTCAACCATTGAAAGCGCATTGAGAATATTTGAGTTATGTCAATATCATTTTGGGGATGTTCCCTGATGTTCCCCGATGTTCTTTCCGGAAAAGCCCAGGAAAGTGGCCGCCCGATCCAAAATCTCGTTGCCAACCACCGGGCTTTTTGAGATGCTTAGCTATGAAGCCGCCACGGGACCAGCTCTGGAACCATTGATGTAGAACTCCCTGTGCACACCAGTACCGTTGATGAATCATGATGGGTTTTGCATGGTTTGGCCGTGACATCTTGCGGTCTCACCGGTATAGGATGATTCGACTCAACATGTGGCGACTCTTTGGGAGAATATTACATAGTTGAGATGGCGCTTAAACATTGGGAAGTCTTTCTGGTCGTCAAACTCAAGATTCTTACTCAAGATAATGATGATGATGCCGCTGACTGGTTGCAAAGGAAAGCACCGTCTAGTAGAGAATGAACGCTGGATTATTTTGCTGGCAGCCGGCAAGGATAAATCATGATAAACCTAATCTTCTAGAGACCTGTACCGCGTTTACCACCCTGTAGCACTTCCAGGTTGTTGGGACCTTTCGCCACAGTTCAGGAACAAAGCCCCGTTGCAGCTCTTTGCCCTCTTCGATGGGCAATCTTCCGCTGAGGAGCAGCCAGAACAGCTTGGTCGTATTCGGTTGTCACATTGGCATCTGGTGATATGTCAATATATTCCACTATGTTACTATGTTGCATTCGGCAAACAAACTAAAGCACTCCAAACATCTCCAAACATAGATAAACACATGATAAATATGGATAAATATGGCGGATAGACCATGGGACATAGATGCTATGGTGGATAAAACATAAGCCAGCAGTTGGATTTTTCTGTGACCCTGGGCAGGGAGCTGGCCCCATGGCCGCAGAATGCTGCGCCAAGACCTTGCTACCAAAGTTGCTGCGGAACATGTCAGCAATTCCACAGGCCCACTCGACCCAGCATGACGAATTGCGATTGTTTATCATCAAAATATGGGAAGCATTGGGAAACTGATGATCTGATATGATCTGTCCGTTGATTGAGTTTTTTTTTTTTTGCATGACACTATCAAAGGATTCACTGGAAGCGACCGGCTGGGGATGCCTGATGGTGAAGTTGTCGATCAGAAGGTGATGCAGATCATGGAGATACTTCCGTGATATGATTGGTCGACTAGAGACGCCAACCTAGACATAGACTTTCTAATGAGTGACGGTGATAAAGCCCGATATCGCACTTCGTACGGTCAGTGTTGCTTTCGGTCTTCATACACAGTCCTCCCACTCACAGTTTATTGAAGAGTCAGTCAATCCTTTTCAACATCTCCTTTGGCACCGCTGTTTGCAAAGCGGCCACAACTACTATTGAAAGGGTAAGGGAACCAGATCTTGTTGTTCATGTTCCGTGAAAAGCCTGATGTTGAGACCGCTGCAGCTGCCAAATCAGGGCTATGAGAATGCAACATTCTTAAAGGTCCTTGCCTCAGGATTTTGGAGTGGATTTTGGATTGATTACCTTGTTTTGCCATGTTTTACCTGTAATTATATTATTTGCATATTATTTGCATATCAATTAGTATAGTAGCTACATGTAGCTACAAAACTGCCACTGCTTTCTAGCCGAGGCCTGCCTGAAAAAGGCGTTCGAAGACTTGGACAAGGAAGTGCTCAGAAACCAGCCGCTGGGCGGAAGACTGGCGGCGACTGTACACGAATGACTCTGGGGTCCTCAGAATATCTATAATATCTAAATATATCTAAGGATGCAAAGCTTCAACTGCAAATTCTGCAACTGTTTGCATCTGTTTGCCAGAAACATGCCATCAACAGACCAGCTGTTCAGGACTGCTTGGTGTGGGTTGTCTAATGTTGTCCTATATGGGAAAATTCATATGTCAGAATTACTTCAAAATTATGCCTACTTAGAAAAGGCAATGAAACAAGTACCGCTTTGCGTGTGCCCTTACTGAGGCCTAGTATCCAGGACGGCTGTGGTGGTGCTGTTGCCTTGCTCGTTGGCGAGAAGCTCTTCACAGCTGTTTGTGGCAAATGCGAGCTGGCGCCATGGCAGCACAGTGGGTGCCTTCGTTTGACCTGAGCTCAGACCTGAAGGAAGCGTGCAATTGCGAGGTTCTTTTAATCTCTGACTGCATGTCGAGAATGAAAAACTTTTAAGTACGCGAAACCTACACATGAGAATCACATTCCCAGCTCGCATGAAGCAGAGTGTGGCCAGAACCAGAATTTCCTCCATATGAACCTCATGTGGCAAGATAGAGTGTGGTGACCAAGAAGTTCCACCAGCCCTCACAAGTGCCGTTTTTGCCGACAGATCCTCGTGGAAGCTGGGCAACGAAGGGGTATAAAGCAGGATCCATGCAAGGCCGGAGTGAAACGCATTGAGTGTTTTGGCTTCCAGCCTTTGCAAGCACCCGCATTCTGGAAATAGCTGCTGCGGTGCTGCAGTTGAACGAGTCCTCTCAGTTTCCTGTTTATTATTCGTTGATGTCAACCTCATATTGGAGGCAAACCATGCTCTCTACAAACATTTGGAAAGGAGCCTGAGCAGACAGACGAGACAAGCCATTCGCTATACGACAGTTTCAGAGTTGTGTCGGTGTAGGCTGTGAACATGGGCAGCCAGCAAGGGAGCTGGAGCATTCCGGAAGACCAGCCCCTTAGCTCCCTTAGTTGTCTCATTTTGTCTCTCGGACAACGGGTTTGCGCCATTCATTTTCTCCTTCCTATGTTAATGTTACTATGTTCGGTGAAGTCGTGCTCAATGCATCATTTGAAATCGTTTGGTTCACCAACAAGGGTTGGTACCAACAAATCTTGCCTGAACTGCAGCACAGCTATTACTTCCACATTGGAAGTCGGTAGTGACTGAGGAAGTTCTTAGTCGACAACGGCGGGATGGTCTTTCCGGGCGAGGGCGGCAAGCTGATGACCAGCAATCCACAGGGACACACCACGGCTGTGTCCAGGCCATACTGTGGAGAAGATTGGCAGCTCCAGAAGTGATTTTCCCAGATTTGTCAGACAAAACTAGAAAGAGAACACACAAAATCAACACACCCAAAGCATAAATGTCACATGTTTTGCACATCTTTTTAAATGTAATTGCCATTGTCCTCCTTTCTTCTTATGTCTTTGGGCCTTGTGATGTGCTTGCTGGATCTTGTTGGCAGCGCGCAGGTCTATCGGAGACCGTGCCTGGAAGGGGTCCATGGGTGGCCTACCTGGGAGTTTGAAGCTGGTGAGGAGCATGCCAGAGACACGCTACACCGCCACTTGGTCATCTTGGTGCCATCTTGGTGCCATCTTGGTGCCATCTTGGTGCCATCTTGGTGCCATAGGGAACACCATAAGGAACACCAGAGGAAACATCACAAAGAACACCATAGGAACAGCTACCACAGACAAAGAGCTGCACCAATTGCGGATGATCCCGGATGATCTTCCCTACTTCAGAGGTCAGAGATGAGATTGAATGACAGTGGGTTTTATCAGGGCTTTCATTGGTTCAGATTCTCCGCCTGGACCTCGAAGATCAAGGAAAGGCCAATTCAGCTGGTTTGAACTTGTCCATGATAAATCGCCAGACACACTTTCCCGCTTTGTGATTTCAAAGCTGAGGATGTTTCCTGGGCTGATCGCCATGTGGCTTTGATGCTGACCTCTGCTCCTGTTTCATACATCCCCACCGACCAGGCATGAACAAGAATTACAATGAATTACAGGTTTAAACACAGACAAACAGAGCAAAAAATGCCATTGAAAGCAAGTCGTGCTGTATCCCAGATCCTCCAAGAGCGTTATCGGGGCCAGCATTTTTGTATTCTATTTGGTGGTATATACGGTTTATAATATAGATGATAGATGTATGTGTCAGAATGTTTTGACATGGCATGACATGGCTGCGGAAACTGAGTTTAACCGGATGTGATAGCTTTCGTTGCTTGTGGTGAGATGGCCTGAAGGCCTAAACGTAGGGACACATTGGTCCGCAACAGAGGCGTCTGTCACCATCTCCGATTTCGAGTTAAAGCCTCGTGCCTCCTGGCAATCAATACGTAGACGACACTTCCAATGTGGGGACGACGCCCTATTTCGGGAAAATGAACATCCTTTTAAATTCTTTTAATCCTTTTGCCATCTTTATCTGAAAACCTAGGGCCACCAGAGCCGCTGCACATTGAGGCTGCCAGTGGTGAGATTGCTAGTCGAGCTGCATCTGCACCTCAGAATGGCAACGCGCAACTTGGCCAGCCATGCAGTGCTCAGCTTTCGGCTGAAAAAAGTTGCGGCCTTTATGGCCGGCCTTGCTTGAAAACCAAGTTGTTGACTCAAAGTTTAGATTATAGACGCATATAGATGCATATATATATATATTCATATTGATTCATATACATTCCTTTTCGCACAAGCTGCATCAAGTTGCTCATAGTTGCTCTGTCCATGTTAGCCTTTGTTGATTTTTGCCTGTGTGTCCCTTAGTTTTCATTGTAGTCACTCCATCAACATCAGACATCACTTTTCTGGAACAGCCACTTATCCAGGTCCTACCCATCAAACACAGATAGAGCTCTGCCGATGCCGGCTAGTCATGGCTACCCCTCATCTTGTTTGCAGGCAGTGTACCACCATCGTGGTGTATTTTGTTCCAAAGGACGACAAGGTCGTCCAAGAGCCTGCCGCAAAACGGGCCAAGAAGGCCTGTGAGCTGCCTCTGATGCTCACAGTCATGTTGATGTAATGATAGTGATTTTCAGAGTCCTTCAACATTCGAGTGAAAACATAGAATATCAACTTCAATCCAGCTTCAGTTTTCCTCTACGAAAACCCTGCAGGGCACTTCAGATGTTAGCATCAGCAGACTTTCACTATATGATGTAGAGAAGTTTGCACGGAGGTCATAGTCAGAGCATGTTGTCACATCTAAAACGGTGGTTTCATTGATTTGCATGCGTCGAGGAAGCTGAAAGTGTCCGCCTGCGGCATATCGTAGTCACTTGGCATATCTGGATGGTGCTGGATGGTGCTGGATGGTGCTGGATGGTGCTGGATGGTGCTGGATGGTGCTGGATGGTGCTGGATGGTGCTGGTGAAAGATGCGACAATATCTCCACGTCATTCATTTTGTGTGGCAGATTTAGAACCGGGCCCAGAGCTATCCAATCGCATCCAATCACTCACAGGGAGATCATCATTGACCTAGTCATACCGGAGTCATACCTAGTCAAGCAGCGCCCTGAAGTGCCTTCCACATTGTACATCACCAATCTTTAAAAACCAATGCCCCTTGAGTGACCTTGCCATGTGTGTCCACTGCCCACTGCCCAGCAATGTTCAGGTGCGTCACATGGAGACCAGTTCTCCTTTTGATCCTGTGCGCAACGTGCCTGTGAACAGAAGCCCACAGGAGGGGATGGATTTATATGGATTTATCATCACGATTTAATCACCTTAACACCAGTGGTGGGTCTCCCCAAAAATATGGTGTCACTCATTCTGTAGTTTAGATTTTAAATCAGACAGATAGCATTTATCAAGTAAGAATGCTCCTGTCGTGATACTGGCGGTTTTGGAGTCAAGCAGCACCCCACATTCATGCCACGCAATGAACCGCTTGGTCGCGATCCCTCTGGGTGAGAGATTGTTCGGAACCATTTACATGTGTTTGCCACTTTTAAGGGGTCACAAATAGCTTATGACAGTTCAATACAACTCATATCTCAGAGACCAGCTGTTTTGAGATTTGGGTTCCACAGTCATGGTCCCCACCAAGCCTGAAAAATTGCTCCTTTCATAGTCATAGTTCTCACAGCCGGGCACATCGCTGCCTCGTGGTCCAGGAGGCAGAAGCGATGCTCAGGCAGGCGCTTCAGGAGCTTATCCTAGAGGCGCGCTGAAAGCACCGCCCAATGGATCCAGCTGGAAGAGTTTGTGGTGACATGTGAACATGTGGTGACATGTTTTGGTTTGAAGCTAGGCCTTACATCCAAACCCTACATTTTCTGGTGGCGCCCATTCATGCCCATTCCTGGTGCAAGGCAAAAAGCATAAAATTGCCTGCGGGCAAGAAACCTGGTGCGGCAGCTTTTCAACCAACACCAAAGTTTACCTCTCTTTGCAAGGCCTGATCTCTGCTGTGGAGAGATTCACTTCTCTTGCTCCCAGAGTGTAACCAAGTGAAGTTCCTTCCGGCTGTCCAAATGTCTACCAGTTTCCTTGCATGGACTATTTGCGAACTCTTGTTTACCATTGGATATTGACTTTTGCGACAGAGATCTCTGCCGAAAGATAAAGCCCTGTAGCGCACACGTGTCCTTGCGTAGCTGGCAGTGACCCAAGCGCCGTCTTCGAAGTCATTTTGCTTCGGTCGTCCTGGTCAGGAGCTGTCTGAATGTCCCACCGCACAGAAGGGTGGTGGCATGAGCCTTTTTTGCATTCCATTTCACCTCCAACCGGTACTTCAACATCCTACAATATCCTACAATCAATTCCCCTCAAGATCATCAAGAAACACAGTTTCTCAGCAACCCTTGGCCAATAGGTCCTCACTGTGCAAAATTGTCAGGATCAGATGCAGTCATGACTCAAGATGAACATCTTGAAATCGATCCCTATCACTGTCACTGTGGGAAATAATGTTTTTTTTTTAAAAAAAAAACATATTTATATATATGGCGATGGAGTGAGAGAGAGAGAGAGAGAGATATATATATATATAATATACTTCGTGGCTTGGCTCATCCATTATGCTATTCCCATCGACTTTCGCCATTATCACGTCCGAGGATTGGAGATCTTGGATGGCTTCAGCCCGACGAGCTCAAGAGCCGCTTTGGACCCGCCTTTTCAGAGGCAGCCTTTTCAGTGGGCGTTGGGGAGTCACAAATTCCACCGCAGATGTTGGATGTTGTTCTTGATGATGATGATGATGATGATGATGATGATGATGATGATGATGATGATGATTGTCATTCTTGTTGGCAGTAAACGGTCCCAATTCATCCCGCCCTTGTTGATCTTGTTGGATTGTGGTGATGTAATGTGATGTAGCAAGATGTTATTATGAGTTTGATGGTGCTAAACAACCAAGAATGATGAGTGAGGATATGAAATCCATGAAATCCCTTATATAATATTATTTAATGTAACGTATTTATAGTTTATAATTTATAATATACAGTTAAACTCCTTTTAACGTGGGGAATGCAACCAACGTCAGTGTATAAAAAATCGCCATTCGAACAGCTCAACCAAAACCGGCTCTTGGCCAGGCTGTGAAGAACCTCAATCCGGGGCAGTGGAGTTACTTAGCCAACACAGGGGGGAAGTGGTGAAGGACGGAGGACGAAGGAATTTGATGTGGCTCACCCGCGGGCAATATATATATATCAATATATAATGATGATGCAGAATAGAATTGAATATATGAAAGCTGCTATTGATAGCGCAGTCATATGTCATAGGCATTGTTTTCCGCAAAAAGATTTGCTCCATTAAGTTTCTGGTCGGAAATCAACTGTATGAGGTGATTTGGCTACATCCGAGATGGGTATTCACATCTTCCAGCGGATTGCTTGAGCAGCTCGCTGCATGTCTCACACCAGGGAGCCCAGCGAGCATGGAGGCCTCTGAACTCTGAGGCCCCACATAGCAGCTGCCTTCGGCAGATCAACTGCGTGGATAAAATAGTTCATGCTCTGGCAGTTTTTGGTTTTATTTTGGTGAACAGCTCTTTTTTGTAACTTCTGGAGGAGGTTGATCAGAAGCTGGAAGTACAGCTACATGCGTGTCATTTACACATATTTAAACTCATTCGGGGCATTGCTTTCCACGGAATTTGGTACAAGCCTTCCCCCTGACCCAAAGTCATGCCATGAAAGCAACATGGCAGAAATGAATTCCACTAGACTAGCAGGAATTGACTTTGGCAGGACAACGGTGCTAATGGCTTACGCTTTCCTTGAAATGACTCACAAGACTAGCCAATCAGTCCGAGCATCTAGTCTACTTGATCGCAAAAATATCCCCGTGACCGCAAAGAAGAGTAAAAAACAACATTTGGAGGGATTGACAATGCAAATCAATTCAAATGATTTTACTTCAAATGTTGAGCTTCCGGTGCCTTCAACGTCGCCATGGCAACCTTTGGACCAGGCCTGCCACCTCGAACAGGTCATCATGAGTTGCAAGTGCTAGATGTTCATTTTGCACGAAGAGCTCAACGTCGTTTAGCTCAGAATGCTGCTGCTGCACGCTTGGAGACTTCGTCCGCTTTGGAGCTTGAAGAAGCTTGCCTCGATGATCCTCCTGCTGCCGATGTGATTTCAAGTGATGAAGATATTTCTGTCGTAGAGACCGGAGCTACACAGGCGCAGCCATCAGGTTCATCACGTGGTCGCTCGCGTTCGCGTGGCAGACAGAGCGGCGTGGCTTCAAGTGGTCCAATTGACCTTGTGGAGTTGGACCCACCAGGAAATGCTGAATCGGCGGCCTCAGCACTCCCAAGTTTCTACGTGCATACATTTGAGTATGGCGATATGGCAAGGTGTTGCAGTTCATGTCATGAGTTCTTTCTGCCAGGTCAACTTCGCTTGGGACTCCTTTTGCACTCAGCACTGCAGGATGATGAAGCCATTTGGATGCACGCACCGCGCTGTTTGCGCCGTGGCAACTTCGAAGTCAGCTTGTTGGAGAGTGTGGCCTTTGATACCGACCTTTCTGATCAAGTCCGCGCTCGAGTCTTGGAGGAACTCGCAGCAATCAACGCTCGTCACACTGAAGCGCGCTGGCCTGGTCAAGCACGGGCTGCAGTACAAGCCACCAAACCTTGGCATTGCAACATTCAACGTTTAGATGAACACATGGATCCTGCCTGGTCTGTTGCTTGGTCTGTGGTTCGGGTTCCTCTTCCTGTGGTGCAATCGGAGCCTGCCTCTCGGCCAGGCTTGGCCGCCCGAGCTGCCAGATCCACCTTGCATGCAGCCCTCGAGGCTCGCTGGGCGGCCATTGATGCACAACTGGAAAGGGCCGATGATCTTACACGCGATGATCAGATCCCCGATGCTTTGACACAGGCACCTGCATCCGGTCCAGATGATATCAACGATTTGTTGGCGTCAGTTCCATGCCAGAAGTTGGAGGTGGCATGTCAGGAGCCATGCGCAGTTTGTTATGAGGAAATGGTGGTGGGTGAGGAGATTCGGCGCCTACCGTGCCTGCACAACTTTCACAAGGCCTGCATTGATCGGTGGATCAAGGTGAAAGCCACCTGTCCCTTAGACAACCTCAACGTTAGGGACCTCATCGCCAAGCAGAGGGAAGGTAATAGTGGCTCATCCCAATGATGGATGTCAAGGCCAGGACTGACTGGAAGGATCACTGTGCAAATGGCATTGCGTAAGCTGGCGAGCAGGCTTGACATGCGTGATGTACCAAATGCGGTAAGTCTGTTGCTTCTCCAGAAGTCGACAAAATTGGAAGAGTCATCAAGATTGGCTACTTGATGCTACTTGATTGCTCCTGGAGGGACTTGCTACAGTCATGGAACTGATGGAAACCAAGCGCTTTGAATTGGAACTCGAATGGATTTCCATCTTGGCTCATTTGTCTTCGCGCCTGGAGATGAGACAACTTGAGAGCAACGACGCCTCAGCGGTCAGTGTTTAGTTGGAAAAAAACATAGCCCACCACCTCATGTTTTCCATGTTTTCAATGGATTGGTCTCAGGGAAAACCTACAGGAAACCATAGATTTTCCCATCAAATAATGGGGCTTACACCAGTAAAATTTCCCTTAAACCAATCTATAATAATCTATTGATGTTTACTCCGTGTCTACTTCAGAGCACCTCTTCATGGGACCGAAACTGACGGCCAGGGGGCAGGTGATGTTGGGTCTGCTGGGTGCTTCCCCACAAAAAAATGTCCAGAGAGGTTGACGTACTCACTTTCCGAGGCTGATCGCGGGAGATCGCCGAGGCCGGGTGTCATTTAGACAAATTCACCCAGTTCACAGGCGAAGGAAATCACGCTATCAAAGCTATCATGTGGAAATGAAACGAACCGACTAAAAAAGGTGAAAAAAAAGACGGATATAATTTCCTCGCACACATACGCACAGTACTGTTGACATTGCTGCCATTAAATTGATTTGGTGCTACCTTCCAACTGCAAGCTTCCGCAGGCCAGTCAGTAAGGGAGATAGGCGTAGTTTATGTAATTTTCCAGCTGGGCAGCTCAACTTACTAGCTGGACATGTGACACGTGCTTCTGGCTTGCAATGAACCCAGGCTCAGGAATAGATAGAAAGCCGGGCGATAGCGGGGCCAATTCTGCATGTCAGAATCACTGCTGGGTGAGCATTGGACTAGAGCTTCCAATGTCGTTGTCAGGAGGGCGAAAGAAGAAGTGAAAGATGACTTATATGACTTCAGCCCTTGCTCTGTTGAGTTGGCAGACTTTCAGCTGGAAATGTTGGAACCTCCACGGGAGGAAAGGCGAAAAAGCCGTCGAATTTCCAGTTTGCGAGAAAAATCAGAGCAAGACTTGCAGCAGCTGAGAATGGCTCCTCAGAGTAAGTCTGGAAGCCCAATGGCTCCCAACCAAGCTCAAAGACCCATGAGAAAGGCACGCGCATCGAAGGAAAGGATCGATCCAGGCCATGGCTCAAAAAAGAGCGCCAAAGTTGCCAGCATGATGAGAGAATGCCTTCAAATTGCAAACTTTCGATTGCGGGCCACCTCTCGGGAGATATCAGAGAAGCTCTCAGCCACTTTGCAAAACACTCGCAATCCTCGCAATCCTTCAGTTTGGCCAGCGCATATGGCAATGCTTCAGCCGGCTCCAGCAGCTATCGAGTTGGATGGCTTCGTCCCCAAGAGAAATTCTACAACCACCGCCCTGCCTGTTGTATGGTTCGACATCAAACTCGTGAAGATCCATGCCTTCAATGAACAGCAGCGGAAAGTCAAAAGCGACATGAATCACAATGATCCTGAGATGCTCCATCTAGCTTTTCAGACGCAATGGATGAAGCTCGACGGATCCAGGCACAAGCTGTCACGGCCAAGAATGAAGTTCGTCGTCTCAAGCGGGCAGTGGCCCTCCAAAGGGCACGTGAAGTTCGTGCCACGCTCAGAGAAAGTCGTGCCAGTCCGCGAAAAGGTGGCAAGCCTCAGGCAGTCACACTGCCGACCATTGTGGTCACTGGGGAATAGCTATTGGATCTATTGGATACCCAGATATACCATGATATACCATGAAATGATATACCCATGTGTTTTGCTTCCAATGCGCACAGAACAGAACGACACAGATAGTAAATCAGATAGTATAGATAGCCTTGTGCTTGTTCAGCATCGAGGACATGAATCAATCCAAATTTCGGCCAAGCCGAGGATGCAAATTAATCCCAAGTGACTTGTTTTGGGTTGGTGGTTTCGGGGAAGTGGAATGTCTCACCCAAGCCAAAGAGCAAAATTTGCAGGAGTGGACAAAAGGGTTCAGCTACCAGACGCTGCTACAAACTGACGAAACCAGATCGTCCGTCAGTGAAGGGGGTAGCGTATTCAGCAGTACCTGGCCTTTGTGGGCTAGTGGAATGGTGGGAGCTTTGGTCATTTGGCTATCTTTCTCGAGCAAGGCCCATAGCAACAAACCCACGCATGGCTGGCAGCTGAGGGGCAGAAAGTGGATGTGGTCAGAAATTGAGGTTTTGTTGATCAATTGGAGCCCGCAGCGAAGGTAAATCTATTGATTTGGGGGTTCAGAAAGGTCAGTGCAACATGGAACATATGAGAAATATAGTTGTGTGTGTTTTTTTTATAAATAAATTATAAATAAATAAATAAATAGATAAATTGTAATGTGACACCATGTTATTTTTAAGTTAATCACGAAAGCTAGCTTGCTAGCTGGAGTTGGATTTGCTTTTGCAATGAATTGAGGGGGCAAAATTTCCCGATATCCAATGTTCATCCAGCAATGCAAGGCAAACGAGTTTTTGATGGGCCCACAAGATCCCAATAGTAGTAGTGGCTTGTAAGAGCACCGTTGCATGCCGCAACGTCACTCTCGTTGCACACATGCTCAACCGACGCCCTGCTTGGGATGCATCGAAGAGCCTCTGAGTTGATGACCTGAGGAAGATGCGGGTTCATCGAACTGTCTGTCAAATTCTGGAACTCTTTGCTTTCCTACTATTCTTCTTCTCGCCAGCCTCGAGGGCTGAGTGTCTGTTTGCTGGTTTGGATTGGAATCGTTGTAATGGTTGAGAATGGTGACCCAATCAGGTGCATTGGGTTTAGTGGTTAGAGGATGGCAAACTGTTTTGGTGAGTGTAGTCATGCGCTGTGCCCAAGGCCAGCTTTTTCCGCATCTGGCACACCAGAGTAGACCATAGTCAGGGGCATTTTTGATTTTCCCAAGTTTACGGTTCCATACGAGTTGGTGATTACCGGGGTTATATTTTTCATTTAAAGTGCTTTCCAAGTCTAAGAGTCTCGTTTCGGAATTAATGAATCCGGGTACCTTTAGCCATTTACTAGGTTCAAGGTCCGGGTAACGGCAGGGCTTGCTCAGTATTTTGAGCCTCTGATGCTTCATATTTTTGGTTTGTTTTCCACAGCGGCAACAGAAGACCCCACCTGAGGGAATAAGCTTCAGTACATGACCACGTTTAACAGAAGGGGAAATATGGATGTTCGGGTTATCAGGAAGATTATCGTGGCTAACATCTGCGGATGATTCAGGCTGGTTAGAAAGATGAGTATTGGGATCACTTGGGGGTTCGTTGGTGTCATTGTACCACATTTGGACGTGTTTTTGCCAAATTTTGACCATAATTTTCTGAATCTCAATCACCTGTTCAGTAGAAATGTTCATGTCGTCAGGCACGAGTGTGGTGAGCTGGAAACATGTAGGTAGATCGTGTACAGGTTGAGGCATATATGCCCAGATATCTTGACGAATGTTCTGAAAACAGCTGCACTCCCAGCTTATGTGGTAGATAGTAGGCGACCCCTGACCACAAGTGCAGTTAATAGATCCTGGTCGTTTTCGGTGTCTATGATCCCGTTCGGGGGTCTGCAGGCCAGCACACAACAACAGTCGCAATAATTTCAATTTTGGACGCGGGTCAATGTCTGGATCGACACTGGCAATCAGCTGGTTGTCTAACTGATATTGCACTGTATCAGCTTCTTTTTCAAGAATTTTTAAATATGCTGTTGAGGCTCTTCGGTTTACACCATTGGTAATGCCTGCAAAATGCTGGGATCTCTCTCTGGCAATTTTCTTCCACCATACCAGTCGGAAACGCTCTCTTAAACAATGCTGCCATTTATGGATGTCGAGACGCTCATTCAAAAATTCATGCAAAGTTTCATGATAAACCTCATGCTCGTAGAGTTGACGTAAACGATTTAGTGGTCCATCAAGTGGAAGATGCACAGCTTTATTTGTGATGAGCTCAAGAGCCTGTTGCTTCTGCTGAGAGGTGTTAAGGTTCCGAAATATAAGCATGAGCGCAGCGCAGTGCATAGCAAACTCGGGTTCGATAGATGGGGTGGCAAGAATAGTAAAGATAATGCCGGGGGAGGCATCATAAAAATTACGGTTCAGTAGCGTTCGTATGACGGTGGCACGCAATGTGGTGAGTGTTTGCGATGCAATATGGAGCTGGTGCGTGCCTTGGCCAAATGTTAATTGACTCATACAACTTTGAAGTATATGTACTTTCTGCTGCCAGCTGACTGGTAGTGACCGGACATTACCCACGGTAATTTTCCACTTGTCGGCACGAGTTTGTTCCAGCTCTGTCCAGCACGTTTTATTAGTCAATTTAATGCTACCCCCAACTAATCTGAATTCATTTTTGTGAAAAGGGATTTTTCGCACACAACCGGAGACACTTTTATGGCCAAACGTAAAACATTTGTTAGGATTAATGTCCATACCAGCGTCTGAGATGAATTCTGCAGTTACCTGATGCATACTGCGGGTTTGAGCGACGAGATCGGTAGTATTACGGGAGTTAGCACAAATGGAAAGATCATCAGCATATGATCGGGGACATGTCTGAGGAATCCGGATTTCACAGTACTCGACCCAAGTGGTTGTAAGGCTTGTGAGTAAAAGCATTGACAAGGGGCATCCTTGCACCAGTCCATTATGTGGCTTGTAGGAATGAGTATACGCACCATCAATTTGAAAATGCTTCTGGTGTTGAGAATAAAAACCATTTAAGGCTTGAACAACTTTAGAATCCGCACCCCGATGATTGAAGACTTGGATAACAAGCTGGATAGGGATTGTGTCGAAGCATTTTTGCATATCGTAAGATAGGCCAGAGGTGTAAAGTTTGTTGTGGATATTAATTTGTGTTTGTAGACATGTTTGAAAAGCTAATGCATCCGCGGCGTGACTATCTTTAAGCCCAAAAGTTTTACTTGATTTCCATTTTGGGAGCCATTTCACGCATAGCTGGTCATGTCTGGCAGAAGCCCACAGGCGATAGATGGATGATAAGATGGTTAATGGACGATAATCAGTTGGCAGTGGGTTATCTGAGGCGACTTTGGGAATGAAACAAACAGCACCTTTGGATAATGCATCGGGCCATTCGCCGGTACTTTCAACAAGGTTTAGAATTGCCGCAATCATTTCGCAAAAATCAGGACACCATCGCACGAGTAGCTGCAGCTCGTAAGGGGCAATTGAATCCATTCCTGGGGAAGTGGGTCGAGTCTTTTCCAATGTTTCAGCAATCTGCCTTCCAGTTAAGGCAGGAAGTTCACACATATCCCGTTTCATATGTTCGCCATATTTAGATAGGAAATTTCTCATAGAAGGTTCACCGAGACGGTGTTTGTCATAAATCTTTTTCCAGATTTTGCTAATTTCATCTAAACGTGTGTGTGTATTTTCAGTAGTGTCAACCGTGGGAGTAGCGAATGTCACCGGTTGTTTTTTGGACCTGTTTTTGAGCCATTGAAAAGATTTTGTAGCATGACTGCGCATGCGGATCTTCCATTTTTGAATTCGTTGACTATTATCGTCTTGGAAAATCTTATTAAGAGCGTTATCAAGAAGCTTAGCTACCTGCAAGGCAGTATCATTTGACGCTGGGAGCCTCAAGAGTTCTGACACTCTGCTACGATAGGGTTCTGGAAGCACATCAAGTACTGGCAAGAGGTTGGTCCAAGTGCGGTCGCGGCGATATCCAGGCTGAGCTTTACTGACTTCAAGTGCTCTATTGATTCCTTGAAAAAATTTTCGGGTTTGCATTGTGGAGGCATGCGCCTGAATGATTCGTGGATGTCGACGTTGATCATGGAATTGCACGCGTCCTCTGAATTGGTCATTGGGTGTGACTTCCTGTTCCTGAAGGCGTGCAATATGCGCAAGTATGATGTTCATATGTTCCAGAAATACATTATACGCTGGATTAACCTGTCCTTGCCGAATGGCTCGGCAAAATTCTTCTGGCATCAGACAAGGAAGTACCGTGTCGCTAGAGCCGGGCATGCGTAAGTTTGTTAGGCTGGAAGGCTTACGCAAACTCATACGTGTCTGACAAGGCTGTGGAACCTGTATTTTGATCGATACTTGCGAGTGATCCTTAAAAACAGGAAACTTTGTGATTTGGAAATCATAGGTTAGATCAAGTAAGGAAGGAGATACGAATATGTGGTCAATCATAGAACCATTGGAGGGACCAACGTGGCATGTTGGAGCCAGCATCATGTGTGGCTCTGCAACTTTTCTGGTGTCACACCATGTACGGTTGTGCAACATGGCTGCCATCTTTGAGCTCTCGGCAATAGGCATGTTCAAGTCACCAATCAGGATTGATGGTACCTGGCCACGCATAACGCTATCTTCAGTGACTGCATCAAGTAGTTCGTTCAGTTGGCGTCTTTTGTGGTCCTCCCATCGAGAGCCGGAAGGTGCATATAAATTATATATGATCATGGCACATCCACCGTGACCAAACCACACTTGTGACGCGATAAGGCGTCCGGAAGCCGCAAATTTGTGACATGGACTGCTTTCTGGCCATCTGATTTGACTGACTTTCCAAAACTTTTCTTTATTTAACAACAGGGCTACACCATTATAATGTTTGACATTAGGGTCTGAAGAAAAGTGGCAGTGAAATCTGTTCCAATCTTCTGCGTAAGCTGCATGAAGGTGTGATTGTAAGTGGGTTTCGGTTAATGCAATGATATCAAGCTTTGAGTTTTTCACGGCGTGTCGTTTAGATGCGACAGCCAATCCGTTTGTGTTAATGGTGCCTACGGCAAGTGAAGAGTCAAGCGCCAATCTGTTCTGTTTTGTCCATTTTCCGCTTCGACATGGATTGGTATTGCCGTGCAGGGCGCGCATCAGGCGATTTCGCCAATGTCTGCATTTGTGCCAAAGAACAATCAATGTACATAAATCAATCTTTAAAGGTCGCGATTATTCTGCTTGGGTGGAGGAGTTTCACCTGAATTGCCTGCCAATGGCCTTTTCGCATCTTTTTCGACTCTCATCGGTGATCCTGTGGCTTGAGTAGTTGCTTTGGCTGGGGCAACTCCTGGAGGTGGAGCTTTAGTTGAAACTGATCTCAAAAACATGGTTCTTCCCTGATTCTTGGATGCAGATGCCTGCGCACTTGTGGCCGAACTGGTAGCTCTTGCTTTTTGTGCAGCATCACTGTGTTCTTTTTGGGCCAAGCTATTCAGGGCTTTAAATCGCAGTTGCTGGGGACCAGTGCCTGAATGCCGATAGAACATAGGTTCGACAGAGCCCATGCGTGTAGAGGTAAATACGCAGTGATGTGTTCCAAAGTAGAGGATTTCGTCAACCACCCAGCCCTGTGACTCCAAAAAACTGATTGCTCCAACTGCTCCCACGTTGTGAGCAAGGCCTTCAAGCCTCCAACGGCTTGTTTTGATAAATGTTGGTAAATTCTTGGACTTGGTATATTTCTCAATCTCATCTGCATTTTCGAAACGTATTGCGAACCGAGGCTTGACCTTTGAATTTTTTGCTATAAGCCCGAGGGCGGATTCATGACCTGCAAGCGCCAAAGGGTCTTCAAAATTAATTTCTTCAGGTAGCCAATAAAGCTTGGTTGCAAACATAGCCTCACAGCTGGGGTGCACTTTCACAAATATTCCATCTTTCCCTGATGCCTGCATCAATGGTTTGACAAAAGACTGATGAGTAAGGAAAGTAGCCGATTGATCCTCACGAACTTGCAATGCTTCTATTGCATGGATATTTATGTGCTGTGCAAGGAGAGTGGTGATCGTAGATCCTTTGACAGCTTCCTGGGACCAACCACACCAGCTTGGGAGTTTGATGGTCATGCGTATCATAGATTCAGAAATCTCAATCTCTCTTCCGATAGTCAGTTGCTGCACAGGTCGTCCGAATCCCAATTGGATCAAATATCTCTTGATGCTCACTTCTTTCAGCTCTCCTTCCTCGGTACGTACATGTACTCGAATCCATACCTCTTGGGAGGGATAATTCTTCAAGTACAGTTGGCTCGCTGGCTGCGTCGTGAGAATCGCGACACAATTTCTGGTAAATCCTACGTTTCTCAAAACTGTCGCGAGCTGTGACTTGTATACAACTGCCACTCCATCCTGTGAGTTCAATTCCAGAGCGGCTCGCACTGGTACCGACCAATCTTCAGATATCAACTGGGCTTGTTGACGCAAGATAGCAGCTGCTGGTAGTGCATTCAAAATTTCTGTTCTGAAAATCTGTTCTTCATCAATGGGGTATTCAGGCGAAGAGCCCTTTTTGCCTTTGCCAAAACCCTTTCTCGAATTCATGTTCCCATGAACTGAGTGACAGAGCCGATTTCTGAAAATACGGCTGAAAAACCACGTGTATTCTATTGACCGCATTTTTCTAGAGATTCTTGTGAAAAATCGAGCCACGACTTGTTGCCTGTCAATTTCGTGAGCTGCAAAGTTGTTCGATAGACCCATCGTTCGTCCTGAAAATGTGGATCCTAGAGAGAGTAGCAGCAACAGCAATACCAAGCGACCGATTTGAAGGCATCGAATGTGGTGCCGGATCTTGGGTTTTTTTGGCCAAGGAAGTCTGCGATTGGCACAAAACCGACATCTAAAAACACGACGTCGACGTCGCGATCGCCATTTTGGGTAACCCACAAAATGAAATGCAGAAAAGATGAGGAAAAGCAGCAGGAAAATCATGGTGAAAATGGCTGCTAGGCGAATTGGGTTATGTAGGTCATGCGACCTGTGCATTTGAGGCGCAAAAGGGCCACAGTGTTCACACAAAAGAATGCAGGAAAGTAGGAACGAAAAGACGAAGTGTTTGAGTTGCTCTAGAGTCAAGCAATGTGTGCTAAGTGCTCAACACATTTCATGCACCGACTCACCTCGCTGGACATCTGGTTCACCCGGGGTATGCATGAAGATGTCCAGGTCGTAGGTGCCCCGGGGCCCACAAGATCCCAATATCCACTATGACCTAATTTTCCTTAGGTCCTAACAGATGACTGAGATGTTCCATCCAAAAAGATGTAAAACATGCAACACTTAACACAAACCTTTTTTTTGGAAGGTCCATATGGTACCAATGCGCATTAAACCCTAGATTTCTTGCGTCCAAGTGGGTAATGAATAGCTTTACACTTTTATATCCATACACAACAAAACGTTTCCATCCAGCAATGCAAGGCAAACCGTTTAGGCCGGAATATCCATTAGGACCTAGGCCCTAACCAAGTCGGTGGTCCTGGTGGAAGATGAATAGTTTTACACACCAACAAGTGAACATTTCCATCCAATACAGATGCGACACAAACTTTTTTTGGGAGTCCATAAGGCCCCTATATCATCCTAATATGTTTAGGGTCTTACCATGTCTCCAATGTAATATAATGTAATATGTTTAGGGTCTTACCGGAAATTTACACGCCACAAACATGCACTTTCGACCCAAGAATTGGCCAATCCAAAAAGTTCAACTCGGAAATTGGGAGGTTTCCTGTTTACCGAACACACTTGGTTTATGCAATTTGTTGCAATTGTTTTCAGTTGTTTGTCTTTTTTTGGGGGGGGGTTCACATAACGCATCATAAACATTGCAACGTGGAAACCACTTTTTGGCACGAAAATGCCGCGATTAGCAAAAGATCACAACACTTGACAAACACGAGAACACTTGGCACGTTTTTATTTTGAGAAAACATGAGAAGTTGTGGGTCAAAACGAGAAACAATGAGAAACAAAGAGAGGCTCATGAGAAACAATGGGAAACAATGAGAGTAACTATGAGAAACAATGAGCCAGTGTTTACTGATTTTTGTTCGAGGTTTGTGCTTTTGAAAGCTAACAATGGTTAATTCATGTATGTTCCATTTTTATCAATTTTTTGCCATGCCGGCCTCATGCAGCACGTTGCAGGTAAATATGTGTTCAACAGTGCTTGCACAAACAAACACACAAACAATATAGGCAAAATCAATAGAGGGCAAGAACAAACAAAAAGTACATGGACCACTTTTGAAACTACTTTCAGGCCACTGCAGCCACCACTTTGGGTTGCGGACATATGCCTCACAGACATACCCCCAACTGAACAAATCAAAGCGCCCCCAGCTACCTTTCGTGATCCCTGCAATCTTCTCAAGTGTTCATCCCATTTTCAGTGCCCATCGCTGACACCCGCTGATTCCAAAACTGAAGTTTTTGTGTAATTTCTGCTCAGGCCTCACCATCACCTGCCCAAGCGCTGTAAAAGCCCAAGAGACGCTGCACTGTGGTCCTGGACAGCGCCATCGCCATTCCCCTGGCATCCCGTGGACATGGCGATATGCTGAGGCATGCTGCGCCCAGAATCATGGTGCCTGCCATGCCCAATACGTCCAGGCCATGGGCCATTGAGTTTTTTGTATCTGGAACTTGGGTCTCCAAGAGTCATAAGTCTGGAAGGACGCATTGTAATTAGCAAAAAGCTGAACTTTTTGACAGGAAAAACAATGCAAAACATGGCGAAACTATCCTCTAAAAAGTCATCTCCAGATAGGGCATGTTAGATTGCAATAATGTATCGCAATGTTTCCAGGACAAGTTCTATAATCCATTATAATCCTACACTGGGATAATTATACAGGATCACAAAGGGGTCCTGCTTGCATTTGCCTACGACGTATCTTTGCGATGCTGTCACATGTCGATTCGCCGCCCCGGGCATTTGCATGCTGCCGCTGGATCAACGTAGAATCAGAGGCATAAAGATGCCTCACTGAGCCGCAAAAAACAGCGCTGCAAAACGAGACATACTGCATTTCCAATGTTGAGCAACACCTGAGGCGGTTTGACTTGATTAGGCCCTGGGGATTGCAAAATGAAAGATATGCAATGATGCTGCAGCCATCCAATCCAGACCATTGCAACGCAAAACTTTCAACAGTTGCTGCACTTCTGATTTCCCAGAGTGTCTCCAAGGGATGGCAACACCAGGCCCTTCGCGTGGGATTTGAGCAGGGTTTCAGCTTTCCACAGGATGGAATGCAGACTTTTGCTGCCATAGTTTGGTGCTAGCTCTCAGTCACTTGAACAGTTTTGAACAGTTTGCTCCCGATTTGAAATTCATTGGGGGTAAAGCCTTCAGTTAGACTGAGGCAGGCTTTGTCTGAGAGAGAGAGAGAGGGAAGGAAGGTAAAACTACACTTTGTAGAGATAGAGGTACAGATAGAGAGAGAGAGGGGGAATGACAAAAAAACTGTCATCCTCCAACATGTTTGAACCCGTTTGTGGGCTATTTGGTGAATTGAGGCTCCACCGAATTCCCCCAGCCCCGTCACAACGCAGATCGTGCTGAGAGGTGAGAGTCAGAGCTTGACAGAGGACTTTGATGTTTGCCGCAGACTGCCATTACCGGCAGCCTGCTGCTACTGTGGCAAGATATTGCATTTTCAGTTCGTGGATGTGTCCAGTGATGGACAGCTGCGGGGACGTCATCCCCCTGTCCTCCTGTCCTGATCTGAAAATGAGCCTTGAATGGCAGGAGTCCCGGGAGACACTTGAATCTGCGGCCTCAAAGACAGAAGACTCCAGCTTGAAACTTTGGCTAGAATCATTCTGTCCAGAATTATTTCCCCAATTCCAGTGCATGTTATGATTTCAATATATTTCAATATATATATATATGTGCATATCACTGACATAGTCAGCAACAAGTCAACGCATAGTTTCCATTTGGAGTGGTTGCTGCTGATCAAAGTGATGATGCATCAAGGAGCCCGTCGAAGAGCTCAAAGAGCCGAGAGTCGGTGTTGGTGAAGAAAGGCACCAAGGACCCTGCATGATGTGGAATGACAGGTTTCACGAAGAGCTGTGTTGTATTTGTTAGCCTTCCTTCCTTTGAGGATCTTTTGGATTCCTTAGGTTCTCAGGTTTGCTTTGCCACTGGCATGTCATTTTAGTCAAAAAAATGCATCGGGGACGTCAAGGAGAAGAGGACTTCGAAGGACAAAAAGACTTCCAAAGCGAAAGGATCAAAAGCCGATTCGAAAGAATCCGGATCCTTGGGATCGAAAGATGGATCGTTTGAGGCACCACATGACGGGCACATGCTACTTGCAGAAGGATCAGAAGGTCAAGCAGAGAATAAAAAAAACATGGTACAGATGGTACAGATGCCCGACGGCCAACTCGGAGAGTACAAAATGTACAAATATTGGGAGGGTACATCATGCACAGCCTTCTTCAGAACTAACAACTGTGGTACGCAGCTGTTCCAGCCTGATGTTTGACCTGGGACACCTGCATGGTGGGAATTCTCAATTTTTTAAAACCAGAGTGCGTTATTTTTTTTCACTGGACTTTACGCTCATGAATCCAAACTATGCCATGATTGCAAGAACTATCAGTATGTGCCATGATTATTGTCAACTTTTGGTCAGAATTTGGGGCTGATGTGCCTCTTCTGCGTTGTTTTTTTGATAACAAGATAGATGAAACTCTGTGTAAGTTTTTGTAACCCCCACACATTGCTAGGCGCATTCGAAAGAGGTGGCCTGCCTCATAGTGCCTTGGAACATGTTGATATTTCTGCCAGTGGGAAACTCCTGCGCATCAGTTGCAGTCCCACACCTAGGACCATACATTAGATATCATTAGATACCGGAAATGATTTCACCATAGGAACCACAATTAACGAATGACAATGAATCAATGAATCTAATTATTTTACAGTTGATTCCCAGTGCTGAGGGCGGGCATTTACCGTGCTGCACACATTGTCAGAGTCGACATCCATCACCTGGCATGAAACCAGGTCCTCTGGTAAACGTTTACAAAACTATGGAAAATCACCATGTTCAATGGGTAAATCCACTATAAACCACCATTTTAAATAGCAATGTTAGTTTACCAGAGGGTATACAGATGATTACAGATGTGTTCCGCTGCTCTTCTTTTATTGTAGCTTTCTTTGGAGGAGTTGCCTTCGTAGAAACTACTGAGAGAGATCTCAGATCTACTACTTGTCCAATCTTTTCTGTGCATGGGAACCGCCACAGAGTTCAGGTGGATCACACATTTTATACACGATGCATATGATTGTTATAGGATATGCATTGTATTAGATGCCGATGTGGTAGCATGGATATGTGCAGAATATTTTTTGAGGGGTCGGCGTTCGCAACATGTATGTGCTGATGTTGCTCTTGAGTTGCGAGGGTGATACAATCGCAATGAAGTTATATAGTTAGACATGCCGTGAAACTTGCTTTGGTGCCATCTATGCTTGTTTCAGGTTGACTTTGACATCACTGCTCCGCCCGAAGGGTTAGAGGAGGACTGGCGGTTTACTGGACTGGCCATCGAACAGAAATCCTGCAATTGAACATGTTGAAGTTGAAGATGCAAAATACATCAAAAACCTGCTCGGACAAGGATACCAGTGATCTGCTAAAAAAGGGGGGCTTTTATCAGAAGCGTAACTAGAGATGCCCCAGTTGTTGGAACCTGTACATGGTGCTGACACAATTTCACGAACAAACCTGGATCTCTGTGGGAATGTATGTTCAAGCCTCCCTTTGGCAGCGTGGACATGCTTCCAAGCAAAGGGATTTGTGCGACATACAGTATATATATAGGTCATTTACGAATGAAGAAGGCTGCTGAGGGTAAGCAATGAAACTCTGGAAGGGCTGTGCACATTCATCCAAAAGCCGCAGACATATGAAAATTGAGTGGTTCTGTACAAATGCGCGCAACGTTGCGTCCGCAGTGCGAGGATGAATTCTTTGACATCCCTGACAGCGCAGCTGCACGCATCGCTGATCTCAAGGCATGGAGATAAGAAGAATCTCTAGAAATGTCATGAAATTTCCGGAAGAAGGTCAAATTTGTCAAAGCTGTGGCACAACTTGCGTACGTCGGAGATGGCTTCCCGGTTTGGCACAGGCAGAGTTGGCAAAGCCGCACAGCGCCTTATGGCTTCGTACCTTAGCCACACAGTTTATCACAGCTCTCTAAGACCAACATGAGCAACTCAGAAAGTTCTTCTTGAGCACTGTTTGAACATTTTTTTATAACAGGTGTCACACATGTGTCACTGTGTCAAATTGTGTGAACCATGATGAACAATTGATGAACTATGAAATTATGTTAAGTTAATGAATTTAACTGGTATAACTAATAACACTTTAAGTTAAATAAGTCAATTTAAAGTGTACATTTTAAGACGAGATGCTGTGGGTCGCGGTTCATTTTTAAAGGGTCGCTCCCCTAAGGTCTGAAAGATCGTCTCGAACGGACGATCGGTGGCGATGCCATGAAGCGGGGCAACCCGGTGACATCCTGTAGGGGGTCATGAGGAATCTATTTCTGGTGTATAGAAAAATATAGAAAACATCTGGGAAAGAATATGTGAATATGATTAAGATATATTATGATAAATAATATGGCAAAAGAAGATAAAAGAAGCTAAGCACACCGCAGGTTTGTCACGTGAGAGATCATGAAAAACCGCTGGGTACAGCGAAGTGGCGAGTGTTTTCATGGCATTGGGCTGACCTGGGTTGTGCGACCTCATGTGCAGGACATATGAAGTTCCGGAAGTAGCTCGTCCTCAGTCGAAGCAGCTTGGACTTTGATGTTTGATGATGTTTGGGGATGCCTCTCGAGCTGAAAACAAGGGCAATTCGATTGTGACACCGTCGCCCATTGTGGCGAACAATGGATCAGAATGCAAGAATGCACAGGTGTTTTTCTCCTTAGGAGATGTATGGAGCTCGGCAGCCCTGGCCGACCAGCGGCCAGCAGCCAGAGTTCATCATAGTTTCAAATCTGAGCCACGGATGATATCAACTTCTGGGGTCGAGCCTAGGAGAAAGTACAAGATGGACTTCACAATCCAAGATGAACTGAACCTTCGTGAAGCTCCAAAAGATACTGGCAACGCCTACTTTATGAAGGGCTTCACATCGCACCTTGGGATCAAAAGATATTCATACATATTTTGCTATATTCATGCCTACATTTCTTTGCTATCGCAATGGGAGTCCTGTGTTCGTCTTCGTCCTTTGGAATCGTGGTCACGATCGTTTTCCTTTCTGCCACAGCTTGGTCAGTGATTGAAATATCTTGACTTGAAATGCAGCCAGTTCTTGAAAGGTTCAGTTTGCCTTGCTGATTGGAACATAGTGCAACCTTATTTTTCATCATTTGCCCATGTTTCCATATCCCAGGTTATTCTCTTTCTCTTTCATCATTCTGAAAGATATGTTTACCCTCTGGTAAACTAACATAACTATGGAAAATCACCATTTTTAATGGGAAAATCCACTATAAATGGTCATTTTCAATAGCTATTTTGACATAACCAGAGGGTAGGTCATTCTGAGTCCTGAGTTCTCCGGCAGGCAGACAGCGCCATTTGTGGGTGTGCGAGCCGACCTGCTTCCAGTGATCTCCCAAGACAAGGTCACCATCGACAAGGCGATGCTGCCGGCCTTGTATCAGCCCTTCCGGAAGGAACGGGAACATCCCTATGGCAGGAGCCTCAGGATTCTGGAACCATGGAAGAATATATCATTTAAGACAATATTTAACATATCATAACATGACTCAACATATCTAAGAATTGTAGACTAATTATCGACATAGAACATCATAGAATGACATAGACAATCCTAGATATCATAGACATGATGTAAAATATTAACCGGAATAGAAACATATAACAAATTATATAAGTTAACTGATTGCGAACTACAGAATTGGATCGAGTAAGTGGACCAACGGAGCTGCTTCTTTGGTGTTGAGATTGTTTGTGGGTTTGGCCAGCATGGTCCAGGTCTGGAAGAGCCATCTGTTTTGCTTCCTCGCGGGGCACTGAAGCAACCGCCTGAAGTGGAGGAACGAATTTTCAGGCTTGTGACACAGGACTGACGCCAAGTGGGGCGCACACCGGGTACACGCAGAGCAGCATGCAGCATCAAACATAGAATAGAATCACATAGACATAGATTCCAGCTGATTCCATAACTTGTTGAAAACTGGCCACTCCATCCAGGAGGTGCCTGAGCCCAGGGCCACTATGATCCCACGAACCTTTGATAAGGCAGGGAATCGGTTGGATCGATGGCTACCAGTTGTGCTGCATGCTGTAGGGCAACACTGTTATGCAATTCTGGGAGTATACCTGATCAATTTCATTAGGTTCCAAAATTTAGCACACTCGAAAAGAGAAGAACACGAAAGGACTTTGACTAAAATGGGACTCGTCTGAAATTTAGGCCTGGGTTTTGCATCAATTTAGGAAGGTCCTGGTTGATGATGATATTATTGTACAGTGCGCATGCAAGATCATGCAATATGCTTGATGCTGATGGAACTGGTGTATGCGGGACGTTGCAGGACAGAGGTGCCTCCTCTTGAAAATTGTTTTGACTAGATGATAGTGCCTTCACTCCAAACTACAGGGCCTTCGCAGAGACAACGGCAAGAGATTACAAACATATCAGTGTGCTTTTGAGCGTAACTAGTCGGGTCAGTTTCAAAAGGTGGCTGTATCAGTGTTTCAGATGTTTCAGCGTTGCCAGATGCACGTTCAAAGCAAAAAAAAGTTCCAGAGCCAAATGCCTTTCACATTTTTTCACTGCGTAACGTCTCTCAAGCATTCACCTAAACAGTAGTATAAACAGTCATGGGAAGCGTCACGTCCCCATGGCCATTGGGCCCACGGGCCGGCACCTCAGGTTCAGCCGCCTCGGCGCACTTGAGTTTCACCGAGAGCCTGGTGAGCGCAGGGGCTTGAACTATCCATGACTATCCCTTTTTTTCTTGTGAGGTGTGTGGTTTGAAAAGGTGTGGCTGAGATAGATTGTCATGCATGCTCTTCAGACTCAAGAATGGTGCTTGGGTGTGTGATATAGCGTTTTCTCAGCCTAACGTTTCAGACTTGATCCACAGATCATGTGGATGGGGGACCTAAGTATGGATAGCCGCGAGATTTTAGGCAGTCCGCAGGGGGCGACACAGACTGGCCAGGAGAGAAGAATTACCCGGAAAAACAATCTTCCAATTGTGCAACAGCCAGTGAACTCGTCCGGGAATTGCGCGACTGAAGCCAGGTGAACCCCCTTTCTGGCAAAGCCAAGGGGGTGATCAAGCATGATACTGAAATTAATGTGGGTGGCATCAAGAATTGGATCAGTCGACGTGCAACTGGGTGCTGTAGCTTGGAAGTACTAGGCTGTCAAGCCCTGAATCATCAGTGTTTCTTCAAAAAGCACTTTCACTTCCCGTCCACAGGAAATGCAGTGCCAGTCACGCTCGAAAAAGAATGAAAAAGATGAGAACAACACTTACCCTCTGGTAATTCAACATAGCTATTGAAATTGGTTATCTATAGTTGATTTTCCCATTAAAAATTGTGATTTTCCATCATTTTCCATAGTTATGTAAACGTTTACCAGAGGGTAAAACCACCTTGGCCTCACATCAAAATCATCAAACTTTGCCGGTGATTCCGAGTGATTCCCCATCTCGGTGACAGGCGAATGGCATCCCCTGCGGCACCCTCTCCAGCCATGGCCCACAGATCTCATTTTTAATAGTATTAGTTATTATCTTTACTATTAGCTTTACTATATGTTTTGAACAAATAGCTAATTATATCAATAGTTATTTAATAGTATTTATCCATTTATATTGCTAAACAAATGGATAGCATAGTGATCGCAGACACGTATTCAGATTCAATATGATTCATTTATAGTTGTAAAGATAGACACGCATAGACACATAGATGCATACTGCATATCAATCTATCTATATAATCTAATCCAGACCAAACTAAACTAAACTTATCTGATATTTACTCATCTCATCTCACCTAATTAATCTAATCTAAACTGATCTTATGTTATCTTATGTTATTGTTTGTTATCATATGTTATTTGTTGCCTTTTGTTATATTGTATTATTTCATGTTATCTTATGTTATTTTATGTTATGGTGTCTTATGTTATCTTATTTTATCTTATGTTATCCGATGTTATCTTGTCCTATCTATTCCATTCTATTCCTCTCTATTACCTATTAATCACTATCTATTCATCCATCCATCCATCCATCCATCCATCCATCCATCCAGTCATGCTAGCTATCTAGCTATCTAGCTAGCTAGCTATCTAATCTAATCAAAATCGAAATCTTAATCTTAATCTAATCCAATCTAATTAATCTATCTATTCTAATCTAATCTAACCTAATCTTAATCTTAATCTAACCAAATCTTAATCTAAGCTTAATCTAATTTTGATATAATCTTAATCTAATTTTGATATAATCTTAATCTAATTTTGATATAATCTTAATCTAATTTTGATATAATCTTAATCTAATTTTGATATAATCTTAATCTAATCTTAATCTAATTTTGATATAATCTTAATCTAATCTTAATCTAATTTTGATATAATCTTAATCTAATCTTAATCTAATCTTAGTCTAATTTTGATATAATCTTAATCTAATCTAATCTTAATCTAATCTTAATCTAATCTTAATCTAATCTTAATCTAATCTTAATCTAATCTTAATCTTAATCTAATCTTAATCTAATCTAATCCAATCGAATCTAATCCAATCCAATCGATCTATCTATATTGGCATCTTTCATTTGCATTTCCTGGATGATTCAGGAATCAGAGGGCTCAAGTTCTTGTCACTGTGGACTTGGCACATTCGTCTAAGGTTTCCAGCTACACGGGGGTCATGCGCTCTGAGCCGCTGTCCCCAGTTGGATGCTGGGTTGGTTTGACATGCACTGGGCTGGCAGAGTGCTACTATGATCTACTATGTGCCAAGGTATTAGCAAGATGTGACGCATTCCCCCTGCACCCTGCAGCGCACACTTTTTTGCCTCTCTTAGTTTTTCTTGGTTTTTCTTGTTCTGCACACTTCAGCAAATTGGCACTGCCGAAATTGTCAGGCGGGCCCTGACAAGAGAGGAGATGTTGCAGCCAGAGACCCAGTGAGCACAGCCGCGCCAATTTCATGTCTTATGAACTTATGGCAGTGTCATTTCTGGTGGCTGGAACATGTTGGAACCTTTCAAGCGAACTGGCACCGTCCTAAGGACAGGTCGCTTGCTGCCTAAGGTTGGTTCCTCATACTAAATATACAGCAATGAACAGATGCCGCCTTGTGCAATCTTGTCCATGTCCTTGGTGTGCCTGACGAGCTGTTTCTTGTTTTGGACTTGCACTACCGTCGATAGCGGCGCTGAGGAATTTATATACCTTTTTTTGTGTGTTTGAGAGATGTTGATGGCGTTTAAGTTTGTGTTCATGGTAACTTTGAGGTGGGGTGGGGGGGTGGGGGTGGGGTGGGGTTGCATCTACGATCATCTACGCTATGAACATATGAACATTTCAACCCGCTCGTGATGTTACGTGGTTGCACTTCTTCCCATCGTAATTTCCAACCCGCTCTTGATAGTTGGCAATCCTAGCACAGAGCATGGCAAGATAAGAAGAAATGTGTCCCATCTGAAATCACAGCCAAACACAAAACATCAAAGATCAATGCCGGGCTTTGGGACTGAATATTTAGCTGGCAGTAGTGTAGGAACTGTCGGGGAGATGCGGTCTCACATGGTAGAGCTGTTTCACAGATAGAAAAAGCTTTGGCGTGCGAAGCTGAAAAACACCAGTGCCGCTACCCACGGCATGACCTAGTTTATCATAGTTTATCCAAAGTTTGCACCCAGTATCACCGAGTTTTTGAGGGATACAAATCTGCCCAGTTCTTTCTGTCAGAAGTTGGGGAGTTTCATTGACCGAGGCAGAGCAATGTCTCTCAAGAAGAGCGCGTGCCTCGTCTCAAAAACGCTTAAAATCGAAGCAGATCTTGGACCGTCAGCCACCGCAACGATTTGGAGAACATACCCTCTGGTAAACGTTTACATAACTATGGAAAATCACCATTTTTAATGGGTAAATCCACTATAAATGGCCATTTTCAATAGCTATGTTAAATTACCAGAGGGTAATTAAACATACGAATACAATACCGAACCTATAGACATCACGAAAAAACTCAGTTTGACTGCGAGCTTGGCAATGTGATGGTCTGGCATTTGCCAGACCAAGGAAGATGTTGAATGATTGATGTTGAATGCAGAGGGGCATGTCCACAGAATCTTGTTGAAGAGTGACTAACTTCTCGTTTCAGCATGTTTCAGCATTTTTTGCATTAAGTAGGCTGCTAATGGCTGCTAGGTATCTTCTCAACTTCATCGACGCTGCCTTGAAGAAATTTGAAGAATGTTCTTGGTAGGGTACCGGGTGCACAACTGATATCCCTTGCGCGCATTTCCAGGTTCACCGGCGACTCTGTCCAGAGCATGGGCCACAGCAAGCTGGATAAGCTGGTCAGGCATGACTCATTGCTGGTTGGTAGTTTGGAACATGACTTTCATGACTTGCCATATATTGGGAATAATCATCCCAACTGACTTTCATATTTTCCAGAGGGGTAGGTCAACCACCAACCAGTATTGGTATTGGTATAGTGGTCGTGTGTTCAGGCTCCGTGCAGTCTCTCACGTAAAGTTGGGTCTGGTGTCGATGTCTAAGGCAGGCTCCCCACAAGTTCGGGAGCCAAGTTCCACGCTTGTGGAGACTGGAAGACGGGCAACTGATCTCAACGTTTCAAATCGGTCACCTTTCAAAGGCCGCTGCATGATAAGACTGATAAGATTGATTGGCAGTGTCTTCCAGGAAATTGTCTTGTTGCAATCGCGTGTAGTTAGCACAAACCAGTGGTACCCAGATGGTTTGAAAGCGGTTGTGCACTACAGCATACATTGTAGCGAGATGCAGGCCTGCTTACAGAAACTAAAGTACGTATCTAAAGTGCAGATGGATGGATCATCAACGGTCTTGATGGACGTACCATAGCTCTGGTAGCACTTCACTTGAAGGTATCCCAAGTCATGCCTCTCGAGAATACAGGTCATAATTATGTGCTTTCTGTCAAATTGGACAGATTAGGATGGCATTATGGCATTGCTGCGACTGCTGCAAATTGCTGCACAGATTGTCTATGGATGGCACTCAGGTGCCGAGTCCGGCAGGCCGCTCTGGGCTGACTAATCCGTTTCTTGGGACTTGCCAAACTAGGTTGACGTTGTTTAAAAAGTCAAGGATTAGCGTTCTTGAAGTTCTTTCGCCATCTTTCGCTTTGCTGTTCTTGTGCGAATCTTTGCTTCAAAGCTGAACTTCTCTGCTTTGCTTTGGGTGTAACATGCATCCCACTGCAGGTTGTCACGTTTCTGTCCGTTTCTTCGAAGCCATGACTCCCGCAACAGGCGAGATTCCCAAGCGGGTTGTCACCATGCTGCCTGCAGAAGGCCCTGAACTGCCAGCAACCACGGCAGCAGAGGCGCGAAGCAAGCATGGAAGACGTGTTCATGGAAATATACCATGTGCAAATGGAAAGGAAGACCTGTGGGTGGCTGGCCAAAAAAGATGAAATCAGATTAAAGAAGGCTGGTGAAAGAGAGAGAGAGAGATGAGGAATAATACGTTTTGGTTACAGAATAATATGTTTTGGTTAAGTTTTGGTTATGGAATAATCTGTTGACCGAGATAATCTGTTGACCTCTTCGATATATATATATATATGAATATATACACACACATATATATAGATATACATGTGTATATATATATTATTACATACAGATTGATAAAGAATGATAAGGAGAGAA